CAACCAATTATATCTTTTTGTCTTTCATTGTTATTTTCTGAAAATTTTTGCTTTCATATAAAGAGCCAACCTCAGTCGTGGGCAACTCAAAATATTTGTCCAAGGAAAGGAGTTCTAGTGGCCCAGTGGCAAGAAGCTGTGCTGCAATCCCAACGGTGTGCTTTTTGAATCCACCAGACGCTCTGCTGGAGAAGGAGGGGCAATCTCCTCCTGTACCAGTTGTATCTGATACAATGGTACACAATAAGAAAAAAAAAGGGGAAAAAGTTGCTTTTTTTAAAAGAAGTTTGTCCAAGGGAGAGCAGAGGTGAATTCTAGTCCTTGCTCCTTGAAGGACAGCTTGGTTGTTCACCTGGCTTCGCCCCTGGTGTACACATCTTTTCACCCCCCAGCACTAATCAGGGGGTAGTTTTGAAATTTGAGAAAACTTAATGGAGTTAATATGGTAGCAAATTTGGCTCAAAATGACTTTTCCTAAAGTTGTCCAGGAAGAAAGAAGCCATGGACTACCAGAATAGGATAGTTTACACATGGGAACTGGTACTTTGGAGGAAACGGTTTATTTTAGCACACTTGGCTGGAGTGGAAGGAGCAAGAGGTCTTTCTGCCCCTGCCACCCTTGTAAGAAGCTGCTGTGGGCCTGCAGGATTCCCAGGAGCACAGGGCACATTCACAAAGCCGCTCTGGCACACAGCACACACGATCTGCAAACGTACAGCCGGAAAGTTCAGTGCTGCAAAGTTAGGACAGGAGGAAATGTTTATTTGCCTTTGAAATAGTCTATGTGTTTACTAGAAATTTGCTTTGTAAGTACTTTATTTTGAGAATCTGGAGGCTTTGCTATAGAGTTGTGCTGTCAGCGCAGGCAGTTCAGATCCACCAACTGCTCTATGAGAAAGATGGGCGGTCTCCTCCATGTGATTTACAGCCTTTGAAAACCCACTGGAGAGTCAGCTATGAATCAGGTCCCACTCAACAGCACATAGCAACAAGAACAAGTATTTTAATAAAGCAAAAGTTGAAATGTTCTTATTTATTCATTTGAATCTTGTTTCTTTTGCACAAGAGAATTGAGCTAACTTATGTTACTTAATTATATACTAATGAGCTTCCGAGATAGTGAAAGAACTCGAGAAATGTTCAGTGAAAAATTGTGAAATGTAGGGAATGATCAGATTTCAAGTGTAAAATAAGAAGTTATTTATGAAATAAGGTAAGGGCATAAGTATAAAATATAAAGGGCATAAGTATAAAGCATTTGTGCTTCAGTGGGCACTGTTCTGTTGTTCTCTTATAATAAATGGTGCCTCTGCAACCACTCTTCTCAAAAACTATTTGAAGCAGACCTTGAAATGGTCCAAGCCACCACATATGTTTGTCACATGTAGTAAGTCCAATGGATTAGTCATCTTTTCATCTGCTATGGAAACATTGTCACTCAAAACGGAACAGTTAAGTAATTGCATCAGCTAGTTTTAATTTTTTTCCACAGTTAATTTATGCTTTCTCTTTTCTCCATTTCAGAAATGAATATTTTTGGATAGTGATCTAAATTTTTTTTTTACTCTTAAAAAAGTTTTATTGTTGGTCACCCATTCAGTGTTTCTTATACACCTAAGAAGTATTTTCATACACCTTTTTATAAACATGTAAAAACCAGAGTCCTCCTTTGATGTTATTCTGGACCCATTCTAGAGTCTATTCTGACTTATAGGGATGCAGAGTAAAATTATTCTCCATCGAGTTGTCAGTGGCCAATTTCTCAAAAGTCAACCAACAAATCTTCTAGGACACTTCTGGGTGGACCCTTTTGGGAAGCAACCAAGCATGTTGACCGTTTTAACCAACTAGGAGCTCTAATTTTTTCCCCCCTCCTATTCCATGCCAGCTGATAATAAATTGCTTTCAGTTTATGAAAAGTTAGTACTAAGATAATCAAAACTGTATCAATAAAATCAGATTTGACCTTCCTTTTCCTTTTCTGATAATAGCTTAAGATACTCCTGTGAAGTTTGTAACCATTGCTATGTTAACCTCTGTTGAAATTTGTGAGTACTAAGTGTAGTTTTGAGGAACTTTGATGGGCTAGTGGTAGGAAGCTGTGCTGCAAACCCAAAGGCAGAGGGTTCAAATCCACCTCCACTGGCTGCTCCTTGGTAGAAGGATGGGCAATCTCTTCCCATCTGATTAACTGCCTCTGAAAACCTGCTGGAGGGTCAGCTGTGGTTTGGTTCAACCTCAACAGCACAAAGCTAAACACAAATTTAGCTTTAGGAATTTTTTCTGAATCAATTCCTTTTCTCCCCTTCTTTTCATGATTATGGTGTTTATTAGAGAAGTTAACAGGATACAGTTTCCTAGACAGGATTGTTTCTGAAATATGCTCACAGGCCCTTCTGCCTTTAGCCTTTCGGCTTGAGGCCAGTGTTAAAACGCTTGGTTCTACCTACAACCAGGAGAAGATAAAGTAGATGAATGTGATCTTCTAAGAATCAAATCCCTATATACATTCAAAAACTTCTCAACAGAGTAAAAAGGGAAGCCACAGACTGGGAAAAAGTATTTGGTAATGACATGTCAGATAAGAGACTTATATCCAGAATTTATAAAATACTGAGCACCACAAAGAGATAAAGGTAAATAATCCAATAGAAAAATGGGCATGGGATATGAACAGACACTTCACCGAAGAAGATATTCAGATGGCTAACAAGCACATGAAGAAATGTTCAAAATCCGAAAACCCGCCGTTAGGCCAACGCACACCCCTCCCCCACCCAGTCAACGGCGCGAGGCCTGAGCGCGTGCGCA